AAACTATTAGGCCAACACCACTTGTTTTGCAAACCATAAACAACTTCACTTTTCCTTAATTGCCTTTAAAAAACAGCAAAGTTATGAGGTTTCTTAATTAACAGTCAACGAGACAGGAAATGAAACGTGACGCGACCTGCTTCTTCAAACATTACATTTCCCCATATTAAACCAAATTGATTCTCTGAGTTTTTTTCTAAGCAAACATTTAAATACAATGCCACCACTGAATTCCTACAGTCTGAGTGTTTGATTTCGAGTGAGAGTTACCGTATGTTACAACAAAAACGAGGTCTTCTTTGTGAAATAATATTAATTATATGAGACTCTACAATGTGTATCATCCTAAATATGTCTCTTTAACGGCGTTGTTTTGTAGAATCCATTTATTTAATTATTAAACTTTCAGGATGTATTCAAAGAACGTCTGGAATACAGCTGCTCGCTGCTTGACTTCATGTTTGCTATCTGTAAAATGATTGTTGATGAATCATCCCACCAATTGTATGAGATCATTGCTAACCATGTTGACCACAAGACGGGTTGCCAACAACTTGATCTCTGTGCCACCCAATAATTAAATAAACTTTAGCTTACTTCAAACATTAGCATATATGATAATTATAAGAACAACTGGAAGAGAAGACAGTAAACTTTTAAAGTCTGCAACATGTATATTTCAATTCTCAATATAAAGATTTCAAAGAATCTTATCAGAGTGGAAGCAAATCGCCAACATTTCCAAAATTACGCAGAAAATACATTAAGTTTGTCCTTTTTCCTTCAAATCAGTTATAATTTAACAGCTCATTCATCGCAGTAAAACAGAAAACAAAACAACGGAAAATTTAGAGAAATATATGGTCAACTTTTTGAAATCCCTGCATATTTTACTCAAGAAAGAACACCTCGTACACTGAGGTATGACCGTGATTTCAATAGCATCATCTTCTAAAAATCAAAAAATATCGTTGCCTCAATCAGATTTAAGGAAAAAAAATGAAGAAATGCAAGTACGGCTCGCTGTACACTAAATGCCTACATAATTGACGACCTTCAACTAGGTTACTGTTTGCTAAATTATCACTGCTAAACTTGAAACTTCTAATACATTAAAAGAAAAAGAAAACGACCCGATTAACCAAAACTGCATACCAGTTACAAATGAAAAGTTATTAGAAGTTTCTCAGTAAAACTGTTGAACTGAGAGAGGATTTAAAATTGAATAAAAAATAAGAAACTGAAAAAGCAATTAAGTACATCTTCCCGTAGACCAAAAAGACAGCTTTTGTGTTTGAAAAATGACTTAGAAAATAATTTTAAAGCACCTTTGAATAACTTTCAAAACAAGTGCTACCTTCTTCATTGAAAGTTTACCATGTAAAATATGAAATAATAATAAACGTTAGTGCGTAGGAATTGTTATATAGTAAAAACCATATAGTCACGAAAACCAAAGTTTAAATTGGATAGTTCCCTACAATTACAATTTCACACAGACTTGACCAAAACCAGCCATTTTTGTTTGGTGATTTGTTGTTTGTTCTCGCCCAAAGGCTCTTTAAGTCGAACCTAAAAATCACACCTTAATCATAACTTTAACGAATAGCTGAGGAAGCTTAAATATGACTCAAAGACGGATTTTAAAACATCTAACTCTATATTCAATTCTTCCGCCAGCTATTTTCCTTCCCTCCATTAACTCGACCGCCTCATGTACCTTGGCTTTGTTCTCAAGGATGGTAAGTTTACAATCAGCCGTTCCAAGTAACCTATCACTTCTTAGAAAACCACCCTTTTGGTAAACCTAAAATTAAGACGAAAGCAGTTTCATCAGGCGAATCAGTTTGTAAAAGAAAATTTATGCACAAAATACGAAAAACTGAACCTCGAATTTTAGACAATTCCTCTTGATAGACCGAAGTAACTTTTTTGACTTCCGATCTACCCCCAACTGAAAGGTTTCGTTGAATTCTAAACAGGTCTCAGTTAGCCATAAATACCAATCTCTTAAAAAAATCTGATAGCAGACGGTAAATATGACCTGGCGATGTCGTTCCCGCAATTACCTTAGTTTTCCCAGACTGGTGTTCATCGTGAGGGAAAGCAAATTCGTACCTTACAAAGATATTTCCATCAGACGGCTTCCATCCTGAAGAAACATTAGTTAAAGTTAATAAACATAAACAAAGCAACTCGAAAAGCAATAGAAAAGCACAATATATCAGCTTTTTTGAAATATATAGCACAAAATGAAGCCTTGTTTCTTAAAGACAGACTTGTAAGAAGAAAAGAAGCAAAAGCACACAAGGAGAAAAACAAAGCGTGCAAATGCAGCATTCGATATCAACAGAATAAAGTAGAGTTCCTGCTCTTCCTTGTGTTTATCAATGTTAGAAAGAACTAACTACCAAAACCTCGACTCCCCTCCATAAATTGGCTTCTCCAAATGTCGCACCAAAAAAGTCATAAAACCAGTCCGCAACTATTTAATTAATGTTGCTCCGAGTGCAAGAGCAGCATGCTTATGAACAGCGGTGAATGGCGTTAAGAAATAAAGTACTTTAGTATATTGGTGTAGAACCCTCTTGCAAAAACAAAATTGTCGATTTAAACTCACTAAGAAAACTTAAAAAGCTACTAAACATTACTAAAAGCTGCTGCCCTAATTAAAATAAGACTCAAAAAACTGCATGGTAGAGAGTAAAAATTCCTCAACATTTTTTGAGCAATATGAAAAACTGGAGTTGAAAAGATAGAAAAACACAATTTTCAACGACAAATCTAGGTACCAGATAAAGAGAAATTTTCAATCAATTTCTAAAAAAATGAACAAAATCAAGTGCAGAAATAATGTATACAGTCTTTCTTAACGTATTAATATGGATTAGCACAAAAACCTTATTACCTATCCAACTTAATTTTCATAAATTCAGCAAACGAAGAAAAAAAACAATGCTTAAAAGATTTCAAATCACATCAAATTTTCTATATTGATAAAATTTCAACTTCAAAGTCGCCACCTCCACCAAATTTTTAACGAAAGACAATTTAGAAACTGCACTTATCCCGGAAAGAACTCTCTTTTACACCATTAACTCTTAAGAAATCTTAGCTATTGAAGACAAACAAAAAAACTTAAATATCGTCCCAACAAGTAAAAATGAAGAATTTTAACTTTTTCCAAAAAATGATGATAATTAACCTTGTAAGTACCTCACACTTAGCTATGAAGTAATACGAAATTACAGTTGAAAAATTAGACAGTTTTTTGTCAAAAAATATTCTCAACAAATTAAAATTGTAGTTCATCGACAAGATCTGATAAAGAAGAATTTTTTTACCGATAAATTACATTTGCAAATTTTTGCAGTCTGGGAATGAAACTAAATGTTTTTTTTGAAAAATACGAGTCTAAAGTCGTTTCATTGAAAGGTATGTTCCTCTTTTCATAAATAAATAGCAGCGACTGGTAACCCTCTAGTGTTAAAGTTCCTGAATTAACGGCACTTAAATTAAGTTCTTCAGAATGCACCGCTCATTAAGTGATTACTAAATGTTAAAATATTCGTAGAATTTATAGAACAAAGAAATTTACTCTGGCAGTGAAACAATACGTTCAAGTAGCAAGACTTAGCATGCGCGCAGTGTTATACAATGCCCCTTACTCGACACTTTGTTTTGATGAGACCTGCGATTACCACGCCAATACGGCGCAAAGCACAGCAATGATGCATGCGAACCTGATGGTAACTTTGCATCCACTACCCGTACTACTGTTAATTCCATAAAATTCTCGCTAACATCAGGACACATTTCGGTAGAAGGAAGATCTCGAGTTTCGTAGCGGAACCTTTAACATTACTACTGCTTTAGGCTGATAAAATTTAAAAAATACTTGTTAGAAACGAAAAATGGCAATAAAATCAAACAAAAAAAGTGTTTTTTAAACATGAATCTTCAGTTACAGAGTACCCATGAAGACAAAAGCTAAATGGAATATGACAAGACTAATAAATTCTGAAACACTGGATATTACGCGCGCACTACATTGGATACAAACAAGAGGGTTAATAGAAAAATAATAAATAACTCCAACTTACTTTGGTACTGCACCACTTGATTGATATAGCTGTCGTAGATAAGACAAATCTAGCTTACTTTCTTTCAAAAGCTCCTCAAAAACGTCCACTCTTACAACATCTCCAAGCCTATAAGCACTCAACAAAATTAGGCCCACATTAGAAGCAAAGTACATACACCTATTTCTGGAAACAACATTTAATACTGAAAGCAAGCACCACTGATAAAAACTAAATAGACCAACGAAGAAAATCTTTGACAGACAAAAAAAGAATGATAGCACTTTACCAGATAAAATTTACTTCATAATTGCTGCTTGATTACC